TCCAGAATCCTGGACTCTGCCAGTCCCCGCTCCCACACACCTGCCTGGTGCAGCCCCAGCATCTCCCACCTGGGCTCCACTGAGTCCAGGCAGGTGCAGGGATAAGGTCAGGGAAGTGGGTCCAGGTTTGGTGACCGAGCTGACTGCAGAGTGAGCAAATGGCAAAGTCAGCGCTAGTGGAGAAGGGGGAGCTTCAGGGAGAAGGAGGCCACAGACTCAGGAAGCTGCTCCATGGGGAGGAGCAGGAGAAAATAGAATGGGGGGAGCCACACGTCGCTGGTTCTTGTGAGAGGCCCAGCCCTCAGTCCTTATGTCCACTACCCGCACACGTGTGAATCCCCTGGCCTGACCTCAGTGCCCCGAAGGTGCTGCCGTGCAAACGAGGAAGGAGGAGGAGCTGGTGCTCAGCACGGGAAAGTGACAGCCCTCCCTCGGCCAGGCTGCACTGGGAGGGCAGAAAACCAGAGCCCCCAGAGCTCCGTGTTCACCGACGGTCAGTGCTGGGGCTGGGGGCTCTTGTTACTGCCCAGAGCATCTCAGACACCACAAGCTCAAGGACTGGAGCGTGCAGTTCCACCACCACCCAGAGATGAGATGAGGGAGCCAGACCTCAGTGGGCTGGCCCTTTGCTGGTGGTCAACAGCGGAGCCAGCTGGGAGGGGCCCAGGCCGTCTGAGTGTCCTGACCCAGTGCCAGAGCAGTTACTTCTTTTGGCCCAGAAATAGCCTCGGGCAGCAGAGGTGGAGAACCGAATGAAGACCCTAAGACACCTGCAGCCCAAGGAACGAAGGGTGGCTGTGGGCGGGGCAGTGCACCCTGAGGGAGGCCACCTCGCTCAGGTGCAGAAGGGGGACAGCCCCGCAGCTTTTTAGGACCCTGCACCCACCCTCCAGCTCCGCAGCTCCCGCCGCAGCTGGCCGCCCGACCTCGCAGCCCCTCGTCACTGCTCACCACTGCTGTCAACACAGTCTGCTCCCTCCACGTGCTCTTACTTATTTGTAACAAATTATGCAAAACGCATACATCCCAGTGGGATACCTCCGGTCTGAGGGCTGCTTGGCCCACAAGGCACTCAACAGGCCGGCCTGGCCTTGTACTTGGAGCCCAACTGCACCCTCCACGCGTGGGCCTGGTCGGTCTCTCCTCTCACCGCATAACCCAGGACAGTCCCCTTCTGAGCTCAGTCTGAGCTGGCTCCCAGGAGCTCTGCAGCGCCGGACCTGCCCCGGTGCCAGGCTCCAGCCCGTTCTAGGCGCCCTGGCCAGGCCCAGCCCAGGGCTCAGCCAGGTGGGGCCAACTCCTGGCTTTGCACTTCAAGGGTGGTCAGTGTAGGTTCACACGCACAGCTCCTGGACTGTCTGGCCCGTCACAAAAAGTTTTGGGGCACGTCCTGGCTGGTGTGGCTCAGTGAACTGAATGCCAGCTTGTGAACCAAAGGTCGTGGGTTCAATTCCCAGTCTCGGGCACGTGCCTGAGTTGCAGGCCAGGTCCCCAGTAGGGGGCACACGAGAGGCAACCACACATTGATGTTTCTCTTCCTCTCTCCCTTTACCGCTCTCTAAAAATAAAATAAAATAAAATAATAAAATAAAATAAAATAATAAAATGGTTTTTTTTTAATCTTAAAAAAAAAAAAGTATCAGACTTCAAGTCAACTTTCCAAAAAACAGCAAAATCGAGCCCGGGAAGTGGTGCTTCGGAGCCTGTCCTCAGCACAGATGCGTCTCTTCCTGTTACAGGAACAGTCACGGGTCGCGCCCCCTGGCGGCAGAACCACCGAACTGGCCCTCAGGCCGCAGGAACCGGGCAGAGCAGGCGGGACAGCAGAGCGGAGGGGGCGCCCTGGGACCCCCAGGCAGGGCGGGCTCTGGAGCGCGGGGGGAGGGGGGGGCCGGCGCGGGGTGGGGTGGCGGGACGGGGCGGCCGAGTGGCTGAGCGGCCGAGCCTCGAGAAGGCAAAATAGGGGCAAAGGGAACATCCACAGTAAGAAACTACTTAGAATTTTAAAGTCATCTTTCAAGTACAAACTAGAATTTACTAGGATTTCACTGTACACTGGTTGTTCTTCCTTAAAATGTTTTTGTAAAAAAAGAGCAATGTTTGCAGAGTGTATTCCTGTGGAAAGGAAGGCATTGCCGGGGGCGACGAGGAGCTGAGTTGCGGCGGGTCGGTCCGAGAGCCCCTCGTGCAGCGAAGCGGGAGGGGCAGAACGACGACGACAGCGGGGACAGACGTGAGGCAGAGGGACGCCGGCGGGAGACTTGTGGACGGTTCCCCGGGAGAAGGGGGCGGAGGAGGGGCCGTGGCGGAGACCGAGCCGCTGGGTCAAAGGGGGGGGCCGGAGAAGCATTTTCAGCGACAGGCCAGAAGCTGTCAGTCCCCCGAGCAGGCAGGGGGCGCCGCAGAGCAGCGGCGAAGGGACCCGACTGGGCGCGCGGGATGGTGGGGGAAGTCTAAAGCCGCTGAGTCCGGGTGGGACACAGAGCGGAGCGCCAGCCACGGGCTCCCTCGATCTGTGGGTCAAAAGCAGTGGGACCGCAAAGCAGCTGGAATAGCCGTGGCCTGGGAGTCCGACTGTGCTGACAGTTGACTTAGCGGGTGGATGGCTCGTCCTCGATGGTGACAGCTAACTGGGGGCGGGGGCGGAAGAAAGCATGGGCCCCAGCACCTTAGATCCGGGTTCGAGTCACACTGGGGGAGTGCTGTCTGAGCCCCGCCATGGCAATAGGGTGCAGGGGGCCCGTGCGCTGGGAGCGCTTGGAGCTGAGGTGTGCAGGGCGCCTCCGGCTGCTTGGAGGACCCGCTGGAGACCAGCCCAGGGGGCCAGCCTGGGGTGCTGCTGGGAACAGACTGGGGCTGGGAGAGCTCAGGGCAGGCAGGTTGGCCTGGCTGGCCTGAGAGCCTGGAGCTGTCCAAGGTGCTGGGCGGGGCACGCGCCCTTGCAAGGGTGTCAGAGAGGCAGGGCCCCGGACGGGGAGGAGCCAGGGGCCCACAAGGCGTGTAGGGCTCTGAGGCCGTGGGAAGGGTCTCGGGAAGCAGGCGGGGGGCGTCCAACTTACGGCTCCAGAGGCCCTCGCTGGGCTACAGTGGCGGGGGAGCAGGAGGCGAGGTCCAGCTGGTTGGAGTGGCCCGAGGGACGGTGAACTCCGGCCTGGACTGGAGAGCCCTACCGTCCATGGCGATTAGCTGGAGGAACTGACTGCTTAGCAAAGAACCGGAGGGGGCAGGAGACAGGGCCTGGGTACAGGCCTACTCATGTTGAGCGAGCCAGGTCATCTCCACCCCAAGGGTGGAGTTGGGAAGTAGAGTGGGAAGGGGCAGATTCTGGCCCATGCCAGAGCTGTCCTTTGGCTCGAGTTGCCTGTCTGCAATTTGGGGATGATTCCTGAAACATCCTGAGTGTGGCAGGGACGACTGCCTGCGCAGGAACGCCTGCTTTGAGGGGCTGGAGGACACCGGAAGTGCCCAAGCCAGGCGCACTGTCAAAGTCCTTGGGGGGGTGGGGAACAAATCCAGATACCCTGGCTCCACCGCAGGCCCACTGACTGTCTCCCCTGGGGTGGGGCCTGTGGTGGTACTGGGTGGTCCTTTATTGGGTTCTCACACCCCATGAAACACAGTCCTAGAAAATGCAAGGCAAGGGGCCAGTGCTTCATGGGGTTGGCCCCTGCAGGAGACGCCTGAACACCCAGCCAGGGGGATGCACAGGTGTTCCAAGAAGGGTTAGAGCTGGAACAAGGAGAGGGTGGGACTGTGGCAGACGGGTGGAACGGCTCCACTGTCAGAAGGCCCTGCAGGAAGGACCTCCCTTGGGCTTCTGGGTGGAGCTCAGTTCCTCCCCCAACCACACTGCAGTGGACTGACCTGTGGGCCAGGTGCGTGGCCCTTTCAGGGTCTCACCCTCGAGTCCCCACGGGCTTCTGCAGCCTGCACACTCACAGGCTGTGTGTGCTGAGACCTCTGTGAGCTGTGCCAAGCAGCACCGTCTGCACACGAGGCTTCAGGAGTTACTCTAGGAAAACATGGACCAAGTCCCCCAAAATCATGTCCCCTTTGTAGACCATGACCCCAAGAAAATTCTGCCCTGCTGAATCTCCTGTCTGCCTCACTTTGGGGGGAACCCCCTGGCTGTGACTTTGGTGTGAGCAGAAGGCACTGCTAGGTCCTGTCGCTGTGTGGGCATCAAGTCCAGCCTTCGTGCTGAGGCTACACAGGACCCTCCAGGTCTCCAGCCCACTCCACCGCTTCCCTGGTGGCACTGCCACGAGCGGTGGGGAGAAGGAGGCAGTTACCTTTGCCGGACTTCCTAGCCAAAGGGAATCAGCGCCAGGACGCCGTTGCTGCTGTGCATCAGCAAGGATGACTCAGAAGTGCTTTGACCCCGGAAGCTAACGTCCAGAGACTGTGTGGCCTCCAGCCCTCTCCCCTGGGGTGGCTCTCACCCAGTGGGGGTGCAGAACGGGGAGTCCAAGGCACTTAGTGGCCACAGGGCCCTGTGGACCAAGTGTAGCAGGCAGCAAAAATTGAGGTGTGGCTCCAAGTCGCAGCCTCGGGAGGGGCGGGGAACTGCCGAGTGTGGCGTGGCGCCACCCTGCCCAGGGTGGAACAGGCAGCACGAAGCGGGGCGCGGGCTGTTTGGCCCTCCGCCATCCCCACCCGGCTGAGCTCTCCCGGGGGCCTGGAGTCCAATGGCTCAGAGGTGGGCGCCACACACCTCCCGGAGCCTGAGGGGCTCAGTCCCCGGGGAAACTCGGACAGCCCCGGACCTCTCAGAAGACCAGAAGGGGCGCTCTTAGGGTCCCATGCTGCTCCGCCCCGAGACAGGCCCTTGGGGACAGTGAGCAGCCCTTGGCCTCAGCCAGGTGGAAGTGGCTCTGGTTACCACCAATTAAAAAGAATTTATTGGGGGCACTGGGGGCGCGGGGTGTGCGGCGCCAGCTGGGAAGGGTGAGGAGGCTGGAGCGCCGCCCACACCACGCCGGCCTGGCTGCAGCCGCTACTCCCGGTAGTGCACGCGCTGGTGCTGGATGAGCTGGGAGCTCTGGCCGAAGGCCTTGCCGCAGGCTCCGCAGGCAAAGGGCTTCTCGCCCGTGTGCGTCCGCAGGTGCCGGAAGAAGTGCGAGCGGCCGCGGAAAGCCTTGCCGCACTCGGCGCACTCGTAGGGCTTCTCGCCAGTATGGATGCGCTGGTGCTCAATGAGGACCGAGCTCCAGACGAAGGCCTTGCCGCACTGGCTGCAGGCGTAGGGCCTCTCGCCGGTGTGCAGCCGCCGGTGCCGCAGCAGGTTGGAGCTCTGGCTGAAGGCCTGGCCGCACTCACCGCACGCGTAGGGCTTCTCGCCGTTGTGTACGCGCAGGTGCTGCGTGAAGTGCGAGCTGTGGCTGAAGGCGCGGCCACACTCACCGCATTCGTAGGGCTTCTCGCCCGTGTGGATGCGGTGGTGCTGGATGAAGCCCGACCAGCCGCGGAAGCGCTTGTCGCACTCATGACAGGCGTAGGGCTTCTCGCCGGTGTGAATGCGCTGGTGCTTCAGCAGCAGCGAGTTGTACTTGAAGCTCTTGCCGCAGGCCTCGCACCCGTGTGGCTTCGCGCTGCGTGGGCCGCCCTGCAGAGGCCCCAGGCCTGAGCCCAGCTCCGAGCCGCCCTCAGTCCCCGAGGTTCCCAGCAGCCTGAGCCTCACATGCCAGGCACCCCTCTTGGGCAGGCAGGACCCAGCTCCCAGCGACTGGCCTGCGTGCTGCTCCAAGCCGGCCTCCTGCCCGAGGCTGCCCACACCCTCGGGTCTACAGGGCAGACCCCTCAGAAGGGTCCGCAGCGCCCCTCCGTCTGGGCCCACCTCATGTCCAGCATCCTGCAGATGGGGAGACGGCAGAGACTGCGCGGGCCCCGCCTCAGGATCTGAAAAGACATTTGGGAGAGGTAGCTAGTGCCCACCACCCACTGGGCCGCCCTGCCATTCTAGGACACCAACTGGCAGGGGTGCCACAGTGCAGGGGACCAGGCTGAGCACAGGCCTGACAGGAGCCAGACTCAGGGAAACCAGGGCCTCCGTTCCAGAGGGTGCCGCCCAGACCCCCGCAGGGGCCAGTGCGCCAGGCTGCTGCTGCACAGCTCTTCCCAGCGCTGCCCAAGGTCAGGTGGCAACTGCCATATCTTGGACCCCTGCAGGGTCTCCAGATGGGGCGGGGCTGTGCCTGGCAGACATCCCCAGCGCTTCTCCTGAGCAGGTAGGTAGGGGTGGGGGTGGGCAAGGGGCTGGAGGCCTGGTCAGCGTGCCTGTCAGCCAGGCTGTGGGTAGGAGGGGTTGGGAACCAGAGCTTGATCTGGGGGACAAGTGGAGGCCAGGGGTGCTGAGTCAGGAACCACAGTCAGACAGGCAGGTGGCTGTGGGGGTCTGGTTGGCACCCACAGGTGTGAGGAGTGGGACTGAACGGGCAAGCGGCCTGGGGGGACAGAGGTGAGCTCTGAGCCAGGGACCAGAGGGGCCCAGGGTCTGGGCAGTGGTGGCGCCTGGGGCGGTGAGGCTGCACAGAGCCTGGTGCGGGGCAGCCTCTGTTTTCCCACCCGGCCAGCAGGCTCCCTGCCCATCTGGACCCCCTCGGTGTCTCCCGCGCCAGACAGCTCCTCCTCCCATGGGGGCTGGGAGAGCACCTCAGGGCTTCTGCAAAGGCAGCCTGGGGTCCGGGGCTCATTCTCCCCTGACCCCCTCAAATTCAGGGCTCTCTCTCTGCAACCTGCCCGATGCTTCCTGCTCCTAGGTTATGACCCCAACACACAGCACCCCCTCCAGGGCCTCATCTCTACCCACACTCTCTCCTTCAGGGACAACCCTGGTAGCTCATGGGCACAGCCCACCCCGCCCCCCACTGGGCCACTTCTCCAGACACTTGGCTGTGGCTCAGGGTGATCTGGGCTGGAGCCACCAGGGCTGGTCTCTGCCAGTGCAGCCCGGGGTGGGGGTGGCCCCACTCTGTATGGGCTCTGGGCCTTCATCCTGGGCACCAGCTCTCTCCTCCTGCAGGGCTGGTGCAGTCCTTCAGAATGGCCCCTCCCCAGTCCTACGTCCTGCTGGCCCGACTCTCAAGAGGAGCTGTGGCTCGCTGCGCCCAGTCTCGGGCCAAGGGCACGGTGAGTCAGACAGATGTGGTCTGAACCCCGTGGGCTTCCCTGTCCCCATCAAAAACATGGAGACAGGACGTCCTACCTTGCCAAGATGTTTCAAAGGTGACATGAGAAACTGAAGGTAAAGCACAGGCCCCCAAGTCCTGACTGCACGTGGCAGGGGACGCGGCCGCAGGGGCCCTGGACAAGGCACCGGAACCACCGTGCAGGGAGGGTGGCCAGCCCGGCACACCTCCCACAGCCCAGAGCCTGGCCCTCGGCACCGCTGCCTCCCCAAGAATCTCAGCTTATCCGTGTCCTCCGCTGTGAGGGGTGAGGCCAGGCCTCCTGTGGACGGACACACGGGCACCCCCCTGGGGCTCCCTGGCATCTGAGCACAGGCAGGGCCCGGGGTACGACGTGCTTGGAGCTTGGACACCCCCCAAATTCCACACCTCGACAACCCCAGGCCCTGCCCAGGGGGTGCAGCAAGGTCCCTGGGGCTCCCAACACGAACCAGCACGCCCAGAGCCAAGAGACAACTTTCAAAATCTGCGGGGTGAGGGGCGGGTATGCGGGACTTGCTGAGGACCTAGGCACTGAGGCTGCGTGTGGTTTTGCCAAGATGCCACCCCCAAAGGAAACACAGTCTCAGGGGACTGTCCCCGGGGAATCTTTGCTCACGAAGCTCAGCCCCCAGCCTCAGCCAGCGCTGCCTGAGTCCCAACCCTGGGCGGCTGTGCGGGGTGCCAGTACCGTGTCGCCGACTGCGGGAGCGGAGCTGGGCCTCCGGGTGGTGGGCTCCAGGTGTTCCCGGCGACTTGAGACTGACGGGGGGCGGGACACGAGGGGGCTGCTGACGGCCCCCCAGGGCTGCCATCTTCCCCAAGGCCTGACGAAGGCAGGCGTGCTCGCCCGGGGCCTGGGGAGACAAGAACCGGGGCAGGGTGAGGGGTGAGGGGGCGCGTGGGGGGCAGGGCAGCGGCAGCTGCTCACCAGCCTCCGGGAGCTGGGCTGGAAGGACCAGCGCGCCCGGCGGAGGCCTCCTCTGCGCTCGGGGACAACCCGCGCCCCCCAGGCCGGTGTCAAGGTCACGCGACGGCGGCCTCGGGGCGGAGCTCGCGGGGACGAGGCGCGAGGGCTTACGGTGTCCGGCGTCCCCGCCCCTACCCAGCGCCCACTCACCTTCGGAGTCTGCGGACGCCGCGCCCGAACTCCCGCCCGCGCCGGCCGGAAGTGAACCCGCGCCCGCCCCGCCCCGGCCGAGCGCATTTCCGGCCGCTCTGGGCGCCTGGAGGACTGCGGCCTCGGCGGCCCCGAGGCTGGCGATGGGAGGACACACTTGACCACGTCGTCCCAGGTCTGCTGCTCCGGAGCCGCCCCCCTTCCCGCCTGCGCCCTCTCCTCCCCGTGCCCGGCCGCCCTGCGTCGCCCCGCCGGGCTCGTTCGGCGAGATGACGGCGGACCCGGGGCTCTAGCTGCTCCACGCTGAGACGCAGCGCTCGCCGCGTTCTCTGCCCGCCTGCGCCTCGCCTCGTCCCCGGCCCTGCCGGGCTCCGCCGCCTGAACGGGCACCTCGCCAAACAAGTGCTCCGTTTTCTGCCGAAAGCTGCCTCTCCCAGGTTCCAGCTGCTAAATCAAAACCTGGCCGGCAACTCCCCGACCCTCGCTGTGTGGGACACCCAGCAGCGTCCCCTGTCCCCACCCACCAGGTACCAGTGGCACCTCCTCTCAGTTGTTGACAACCAAAAACGCCCCCAGGCGTTGTCTGCGAACCCTTCTGGGTGACTAACTCACCCCTGCTGCACAGGCAGACTGAGCAAGTAGGCCTGAAGGGCCGCCCCAGCCCTTCAGAGATGAGGACCTCAGGGCCGGGGTCCCAGGCTCCGGGGGGCCTCCCAGACCACCCCCCACCCGCCAGGAGTCAGGACTGCAGGCCCTAAGCAACCGGCAAAGCCAAACTTAGTCTCCCAGGTATGGAGGACCACAAAGGTGGTGTGTGCAGGGGACACGCTATCTTGTCAGTGCAGCAGGGCACTCCCATCCTAAGTTAGCAGAGGCAGTGAGTGACCAGCTGGTCTCTGGCTGTGCTGGCCGGTGCCAGCGTTCTCCCGGAATCCCGACTGCACCACCACCACCCCCCCCCCCGCAGCTGCAGACAGATGAACAGAGCACAGTGAAGGGGTCAGGACGGACGTTTATTACAGGAGAAAGCAGCTCCCAGCAGGCAGCAGGACATGGTTGCTGTGCCGTGTGGAGGCAGGGTGGGGGCGCCGCAGGAACCAGGCGGCGTTGCCTGGAAAGGGAGACCACAGGGACATTCGGCCACAGGAAACCAGGGAAGCAGAGAGACCACCCAGCCCAGGCAGAGCGCACTTGCTTAGTAAGGACTGAAGGGACCAAGGGATCACTGAGTAAAAGTTCAGCAGCGTTGACTAGCCGGAGAGTTGGATTTCCAGATAAAAATAAGTGGTAGATACCAGACTAGCAAGTGTCCACACCACCTCAGGCCCAAGACCGCCAGCTGCAGGCAAGAGTGTTTGTGGCCTATAGTCACCCAGAGCTGCCAGCTCTGGACGCACCCCCCGTGGGGCCGTGAGAAGAAGGCCGATGCAGAGTGCTGGAGCCACCAGGAGCAAGCGTGCTCACACCAAGAGCCACAGTCTCAAGAAACAGAACCAGAATGCCACGTGGGTAAGGGAACAGTGACCCGGGGCACAGGTGGCGTGCCAGGGCACCTCAGAGCGGTGCGTGTAACCCACGCTGGGCACCCCTGTGCCAAGACTAAGGCGTGTACTGAAGCTGAGGCACTCAGGGTGCTCGCCCTGAGGGGACAGTGACTTCCGGCCTCGGAAACCCACATCTCCGGGGTCTGCAGGGGACGTCGGGCAGCGGCGCCAGCCCTGACGCCCTGGCAGGACCCCGGCCACGAGGAGGACCAGCCTGCAGTGCACACAACAGGCGGCTGCAGCACGTGAGGAGGGATCAGGAGACACGGACTCTGAGCTCGGTGCCCAGGGGTCCTCAAGAAGGGGACCCAGAGGCCACCTTGGCCCCTAGCCTGTTCCTTCTCTGGTCCCAGCACTGCTTCCCTGGGCCTTGGCAGCACCCCCTTTACCCCTCTGTCCTGCTCCAGGGCACATGTCCACGTGCCCACAGGGCCATGAGCTTCCTCCCTGGTGCTGAGGCTGCAGGCCTAGCCCCGAGTCCCAGCTCCCGTGTCGGAGCCCTGCTCACTGGCAGAGGCACCGAGCGGTCGCGTCCCAGTACCCAGATTGGCTCAGACACAAGAAGTCACTAGACGTGAAGCCCAGGGGGCACCCTGTTGCCACTGGAATGTGGTGGGCCATGGTACAAGGACAACCAAGGACCAGGTGGCTGAGGAGCCCCTGCCGCAGGGAGAGGACCAGACCCCGCCTGCTCCGTGGCCCTCCGTGCCGCTGCCCGGCCGTGCTGGCTCCCCACCTGCCCTCAGGTCCAGGGGGGTGAGGATCACAGAATACCAGCATGCGGCACCATCTGTGTCAAGTCGCCGGGTCATCACGGGCGTCCCCATGTCCCGTTCAAGGTCCTGTGTGGCCCGTGCCCAGACACCAGGTCCCCCTGGAGCCATCGCTGTGCCTTCCATGCTGAACCGTGGTGGAGCCAGTGGTGTGGCCGAGCCACCCCGAGACGGGTCTGGGACTGCTGCCGTGCACCCTCCTGTGACGGGGGGAGACTCCCTGAAGTGTGGGACCCTGACCGGCATTTGGCCGGGGATGTCCTCAGCCTGCAGGGTTCCCCAGGACGCCCAGCTGACGCTGCGCTGAGGTGCCTGCTGGGTGGGGTGAGAACACAGCCATGAACCTGCCCACCCTGGAGAGATCTGGGAGCCCCAGGAAGGCCCCCCACGTGAAACGCCGCCCTGCTCACGTCTGCAGGCGTGTCCCTGGAGTGTCCCTTCCTGCAGGGACAGCCCGCTCCATGCCTGTGTCCCCACCTGTCCCTCAGCCGGAGAGGCCGGACCCAGCTTTCCCGCCTTCTTGTCCTTGACCTCCATTCCTCTTGGAGGACCTCAGGAATGCGGGAACTTCCTTGTTAGTTTTGAGGTTCCTCTTTGCACGCGTTTCATTGGGAATGTCTTGCTCCGGACATAGTCTACTCTCACAACCTGAAAAGACAAGAAGTGCCTCTTGAATAAAGAAACACAATTGCCTCTGGCTGGTGTGGCTCAGTGGACTGAGTGCAGCCTGTGAACTGAAGGGTTTCGGGTTCGATTCCTCATGGCACAGGCCTGGGTTACAGTCCAGGTCCCCAGCAGGGGGCATGTGTGAGAGGCAGCCACACATTGGTGTTTCTCTCCCTCGCTTTCTCTTCCTCTAAAAATAAATATTTAAAAAATTGTGATTACTATCTGCTGCCTTTGTTGGGAAAAAGCCAACTATGGGCATGAGGAAACGGTTTGATGATGGGCAAGGCAGGAGGTGTGGCTGAGACCCTCACCTGGATGGCCAGAGAGTGTCCAGGAAAGTGCTTAATTTTGTTCCAAACTCAAGTTGGGGAACATAAGGAACACGCAGACTTAAGGTATATACGGTGTCAAGAGCAATGGACCGACACACCGGCCCTGAGCCCGGGGGGCCTGCCTGTGGCCAGGGAAGCATCCTCCCGAGCTGGGTGAGGGCCGCGCTCTGCTCCTTCGGTTTTGCTGCGTGTCCCGCACACCACACCGCTCAGTGTTGCCCAGTTTTGCATTTGAGATGGTTAAAACCAGGCCAGGGTCCCCTGTGCCACACTGCCCCCCCCCCCCAGCTCAGCGCTCAGTCCTGTCAAAACCAGCCTGTCTTTGACCCTCAGCGGCTCCCAACCCTGTGACTTGACTGGTGGCTGTTCCGTTTCTTGTCCCCCGCAGTCTCCTGTCCTCCTCCGCAGGACGGGGATGTCCCTCAGCTTGCTGACCCTCAGCCCTCCCGCTCCCTGGGACGGGGCTAAGGGCGACAGTGGCCCATCTGGCACTCGCTCCGGTGAGTGGCATTTTCGCTGTCACTGAAGCTTGCGCACTTTATCACTTCTGGTGTTTTTTCAGGCGTTGCTTACGAGGTTTCGTTTTCCTGGAAGGCAGGCGAGTACCGCTGGCACAAGCAAAAACTCCAGCGCGGAGGTTGCAGGAGCAGCCCTGGCCTCGGCGCTGGATCAGCAGCAGAACTCGGCCCTTGCCCCCTGGGGCGCCCGGCTGGGCCCTGGGCCGCCACCGCCACTCAGCAAGGACATGGCCCGTCTCCCAACAGGACAGGAGGCCAAAGAGACCAAGGACTGTTGAGTGTGAGATGTGTGACTTCTCTAATCCCGTGCGCTGTATTTGTAAAGAAATCCCCAAGGGTATTATCTCATTAGGTAGAGAGGCACTGAAGGCCGTCAGCCTGCAGCAGAGCACGCCCCCCAGGAGCGTGGACGGGGACGGAGAGGAGACAGCCCTCAAACCACCAGGCGGAGCGGCGTGGGCCGGCGCTGCCCCACTTCACAACCGAGGAAACCGAGGCACGGGGGTTAAGCGATCTGCCCAAGGTCCCACGTCTCCTGAGCTCGGGGTCAGGTTGGTACCCCCTGGCCCGAGATCTTCTGCCCTTGGCCATCCGCTTCCTCTCCGGAAACCAGACACCTGATTAACACGTGTTTTCTCCCTCCTACCAAACTGGCAAGGATCAGGGCCTTCCTGCCTGCCACCGCGGGAGAGGCCGGGGAGTGGGCGCCAGGGCGACTGCAGGAAGGGCTCTGCCAGCATCACCTCCGCCTGTCAGTCCCGGCCAGGGGACCCTCCTGCCGGCCCTGAGTGTGGAAAAGACACACGTCGCAGCATTACCCACGAGGAAGTCGGCGGGTCATCACGCAGCAGCAGAAAACAGTGCTTCCCACGGAGGGGGTGGAGCGCCGCAGCACAAAACTCGCCGTTTCCCACAGGGCGTGGGGCACGTTGGCGTGCCCGACGCATGCTCTGTGGCAGCGCTGCGCGTGCGCATACCGCGGTGCACCGCGGCGCGCAGGGCGGGGGGCGGACTCACACGCCCTTTGTCCAGAGCGGTCCAGTCTCAACCCCACCGGGCTCTGTAGAGCACAGGCTACAGGCACGCAGCTGCACTCGTCTGCTTCTGTGCGGTGGGCGACCGCTGTCGCAAGTGACGGCGGAGCCGAGTGATGACGGAGACCTCGCGGCAGCAGAGGCCGCCAAGAACAGGCGTGGTCCGGCCCTTCGCAGAAGACGTCTGCTGACCCTGCCCTGGACCCGCTTCGCTCGCTCACGCTCAGTGCGCATGTCCGCACCGTCCTCACTGGGTCTCCGCAAGATGCCCAAGGATGAGCTGCAGACCCGTGACCCTGTGCCTCGGGGACGTGGCATGGGCCAGCCACCAGCCTCGCTCGAACCGGGGAGCTCCGACATGGAGCGGCCCTGCCACCTGGCGGGCAGTCTGGACCTGAGGTCTGCCCAAGGTCCCGGGAACGTCCTTCGGATGCAGGGTTGCACGTCTGTGTCTCCCCAGGGCTGGCTTCTGGCACCTGCTTCTGAACAGTCCTGCCCCGTCAGGTCTCATTTCCAGAACAGTGAGCACGGGTCACAGGCATCATGGAGCGGGGGTGGGCGGGATGTCCCTCAGTACACCCCAGGGGCCAGCAGGGGCCCAGCTCAGGTAGGTGTTATAATGTTACCTACCTGAAAGACCAGGAGCCCCTCCCATCATCTGGGCTGCCTGCTGAAGGGACCTGTCCTCCCTCCCCCATGCCCCCCCCCCCCCGCAAGCTCGGGCCTCCTCACAAGACAGAGTCCCCAAAGACTCAGGCCATTATTAGTTTTTTGGATTCAATAAAGTGAAAAAGTAGGTGTCATCCTTTCCCAAATAAAAAGCCTTGTTATCTCCAGGTTGACCTTCACCTCACCCCCTTGTACTGTCTGGAGATCGGGGACAAAGGGCACAGCCCAGGAGGGCAGAGTCCCACGCGGACCACTCCTGAGGGAAACCAGGGCAGGCCTAGCACGTGGACTTGATGGGGGCAGGGGGGGCGGGGTGGAACCTGGGGGCGGGGCGCAGAGCAGTGGAACTCACCTGCACAGAGAGCCAAACCCCAGGGGCAGGGCTCACGGCTGTGGCACCTCCCGTGTGGGAGGTGCAGGCTGGGGCCCCAGCGAGTGGCCGTGGAAGGAAGCTCCCACGCAGCAGCCTTCAGGCCCAAGGAGCCATGCCGCCCGTGGTCCATCTGCGTAAGTCAGGCCGCTGATCCGGGATGGTGGCTGGGCCAAGAGGACACGGGTCACAGAGCCTCTAGTTCCTGGGGATGGGGTCGAGTTCACGGCTGGTGCTGCAGCCCGAGAAGGGTGGTCACTGCAGCCAGCCGAGGGGGGACGGGGGGTTCTGGTGCTCCTAGAAGACTGCTGTCTAGCTCGGGGCCACAGGCCTCCTGCCGCCCGCACGGGGACGGGCCGGGGACCCAGTGTGCCAAGGGCTGCAGGCTGACGTCTTCAGGAGCAGGCGAGAGGGCCGCAGCCACAGAGGGTGCCCAGCAGCGGCGGCAGCCGGGGGAGCCGTGCGGGCAGCTCCCTCACGCTCAGTGTTTCCTCCGGGGGTGCCGCTTCCGGTGGCGAATGAGGCAGGAGCTGTAGGCGAAGGTTTTCCCACACTCCTCACACTCGTATGGCTTCTCGCCGGTGTGCGTCTTCTGATGCTTCAGGAGATTGGAGCCACAGTTGAAGGCTTTTCCACACTCACCGCACATGAAGGGCTTCTCCCCCGTGTGGATTCGCTGGTGTTTGGTGACGTCGGAGCTGTGCCGAAACGTCTTCCCGCACTGAGCGCACTGGAAGGGCTTCTCCCCGGTGTGGACTCTCTGGTGGCGGATGTGATCCGTCTTGTGCTTGAAGATGCGCCCACACTCACTGCACTCGTGGGGCTTCTTTCTCTGAAAAGGAATGAATACGGGAACCCCCTCAAAGTCATCTTTAAAGGACGCATCGAAGGCATCAAATATGTGGGCTTCGGCTTCAGCGCTCAGGCTGGGCTCCTTACTGCGCTTTTTAGCCAGAGCGGCTTTCCTGCCGGGCCCTGTGCCACCCCAGGACACCTTCCGGTCCTTGGCGGTGTCCCTCTGCACAACCGTGTGCTCCTTTGGGCCCTCCGTCTTCTTTTTGCCTGTGGGCTTTTCCATCTTTCTGTTCCCAGGGGAGGGAGGGCTGCGGGAAGCCTGTGAGGGCTAAAGGGAAAGGCGGGGCACCGTTCTCCAGCCGGACAAATTTCTTTCTTGGTGGTCACTTCTTCAGAGGTGTCCTGCCTCAGACACAGCTCCTCACTGCTCTGAGCTCATCGTGGCAGCTGGAGCGGGAACCTGCAACGGAAAGTAGGGTGGCAGCAACCCTGCAGAGGCCACAGAAGCCAAAGCCTGAGCATGAGACAGGCGTCTGGGAAGACACACTGAGCTCTTTCCTGAAGACGGACTGAGGGAAGGGGCCGGGGCCCATGGGGATGTAGCCCCTTCACTTCCCTACACTTGTCCTGCCACCTAGACATGGAAGGGGCATCTTAGACTGGACGAGGCCTCACAGAACACTGGGTTCCCGGGAGCCCTGCCGCTGCACTCTGAACCGCGTCCTGGTATCTGTACATAGCATCTACTCAGTTGCTAACTAACCACAGGGTTTTCTTCCTCTGCTGGGGCAGAGGTCACCACACCCATGTCTAGGAGGGCTGACCTGTGCCACAGACCAGTGTCTGTTTTGTGGTTCCCAAACTGGAGTTTCTTGATCCTTCTCCACTTCCTATATTTGGGGCCAGACAACGTGTCTTTGGAGCCAGATATGCCCTTCCTGGAAGGTGCCGCCCACTGCCTTGGGCCTGGATCCTAAGGCCCATGAAACTTGCTGCTGGCTCCCTGGTGTCTGCCCTGCTCCCACCCTGGCCCTGGGCCTCCTTGTGGTCCATCGCACACAGCAGCGAGCCCAATACACTCCTGCCCCTTGGCCCTGGAGCGTCACATGGCCAACCCTGCACTCCCCTCCAGCCATCCAGCCTTCTTTAGGTCCCTAAACAGGCTCTTTCCTGTCAAGTGCCTGGCTGCTTCTGGAAACAGGCCCTGAGAGCAGGCCTCGGTGGGACTGGCCTCTCTCACGCAGAGCTCCGCCGGGAGGGCCCTTCTCAGAGAGGTGTCCCTGTCCCACTCACGGCTCTAGTTTTCCTTGGAGCACGTCTCTCAGCTAACCCATCCATGGAAGCCCAAAGCTCCAGGTGGTCAACAAGGTTCTTGCTTGCACTGTCTTAAAACCTGATAGTCCCTCTCCCTGATGCCACCGAAAAGCACCCCAACGTCCCAACTGCAAACAGGAACCAGTTAGTCCCACCGACAGGTCAGGCCTGGGCTCCTGCGGAAGCACAGCAGTTGTTAGGTGCTTCATGGCAGAGGCTGGTTTCTCTCACTTCTCTATGTGCTGTGCACGCCCAAGAATAACATCATCGTTAAAAGACGGAGTAGAAAGAGGTCACCGTCTCCGTCCCCTCATGTCACAGGTCTGTGGACACGAGTGCCAGTTACGGAGACACAGACAATTCAGTCCACGTTGGCAGAGCAGACGAGAGCGCTGGCCCAAAGCCTGGGCGCTGGTACCGGCCATGCAACTAGGGTTCCGCTCTGCTGCTCCCTGGTCCACGCAGCTCTGAGCTCCCTAGGAACCTCACCCGGCCCGGCCCCCTCTCTAGCTGCCTGCAGGAGCCTGGGCCTCACAGAGAGACCTCAACACCAGTGGTTTGATATCCAGGGGCAAACATGCACCCTGTCTGTTGGGCCCTGGCCTGCAGGGGCCAGGGGCTGTGCTGCAGCAGATGCGAAGGGCCTCGAGCTGGGCACCGCCCCGTCCACGATAGAGCCTAGCGGGCAGCGCACACAGGGCCAGGGGCGACGACTTCACCTCTACAGGAGCGGAGATGGTGATCCCGCAGCCTCGCTCTCCGCCCGCGGCACCTGGAGCCGAGGTGGGAAGGCCGCCGCCCCGCGCCGGGGCCCCCGCCACGCCGGAGTGACCGAGGGAGTCCGTGGCTGAAAGCGGGATCCCTGGAAGGGGCGCCAGCCTCGCTGAGCCCCGCGGCCCAGCAGTAGCCCAGCAGAGCAGCAGGACGACGGAGCCCGCCCAACCGCCAGCCACTGGCCACGCCCCTTCCCCCGGGCCGCTCTAGGAGGCGGGACTCCGGGCCTCTCGGTGGTGCGCCGTGGAGGGCTCCGCCCCCGAGCAGGCTCCTCCCACTCGTCTCCGATCACGCCAGCCCCTCACTGAGCCCGGAGCCCCCTCCTTCACCCCTGCGGCCCGCCTCCACTCTTTTTTTCTATATATATATATATATATATATATATATATATATTTTAGATTTTATTTATTTATTTTTACAGAGAGGGGAGGGAAAAAGAGAGGAAGGAGAAAGAGAAGAGGTCAGTTGCCCCTCGCGCGCCCCACTCCGGGGGTGACCCGGCAACCCGGGCGAGTGCGCGGGGCCTTAGGTTTGGAGGCCGGCGCCCACCTGAGCCGCACCAGCCACGGTCCCGCCCTCGCTCTCCCCTGCACCTCAGCACTCACCCCTGCGCCCCGCTCGTCTCGGGTTTCTTTCCGGCGGGGATGATGAAGTGAGTAACGGGGAACCACGAGCGCACGGTTCCCGACGTTACTCCCTGCGTAGCGCCCCCCACCGCCGCCGATTCTCCGAGGCCCGGAGACCCAGGCCTGGTCCCACGGGCAGCCCCGCCCCGCTCGGAGCCCCTGAACACAACCGCGAGCCTCCTGCTCCCGTGGCCTCTGACGCCAACGCCTGAGTGCTGGACAGCGCCTGCCTCGTGGAGCGCGCGCCCGCCGCACCGCTAGGCGGTCCCGGGTCCTGCTCCGAGACGCGGGCAGGCCTGAGTTCTCCCCTCTGCTCGGCAAGTTCCTGGCCGGACCTGCCCCGGTGCATTGGGCCCTGCAGCCCCTGCAGCCCCGGGTCTTACCGGGAGGCGGGGGCAGAGTGGAGAGGGGGACACTGTTCGGAATCTCGGTCCTCAGGCCCTGTGTCCTCAGGGACCCTGCTTTGGGTCCCTGCCCCATTCTCAAGGTCTGGAACAAGGACAGGAAATGAGACCGCGGCCACCTGCTTCCTGTGCTGGCAACAGGAACTTCCCAGGAGCCAAGAGTGGGTGGGGAGAGGGGAGCAAAGAAGGGCAGGTAACCCAAGGCGGGGCACTCAGGCACAGATGACAAAATGGATCTGGGAAGGGGGGAAGGGGACCCAGCATTTTGGGGAGGTCGGAGGCTGCATGGAAGGGAAGGTCTGTTCCCCAAGCAGGAGGACCCTAGAGGCCACAGGCTCCAGCTGGCAGGTCGTTTGAGCCCAGAAAAGAAGGGAACACAGTGTCCACCCTGAGCTTCCTTCTGAAGCCAGGGAGTTGGGGACACAGGGCCCTGACACTGCCCCAGGGGCTGGTGTGTGTGTGGGGGGGGTGAGGCAATTTGGGAAGGAGTCCTTCAGCCTAAAGGGCTCATTTGTTTCTTTCTCATTAGGGGCTGGTGGGTGGGGTGGGGGTCATTGAAGGAAGAAGGGCCAGAGGGCTGTGCCAATGCTGGGAAGAGGCGCGGATGAACGAAAGGACGCCTCCACAGGCGAGAGCTCCAGGGCCTGAGCCCCGACCCAGGAGCAGAGCAGGGACCTGAGAACAGACAGGATGCCAGGCTTGCCAGGATCGCACGGTGGGGAAATGGCAACTCAGACTCGAGGCCCGGCCACCGGCCCCTCAGCCTTCCCCTTCAGGGCATTGGGCCCAAGTCCCACTGGGAAGCCTCAAAGGTATCTGAGCGGCAGGGCAGAGCCCTTACCCAAGGCCTTAACAGGGGCTGTGTGGGAGGGTGTGCCCACGAGTGTGCCCACGAGTGTGCACGTGCAGGTGACGGAGCTACAGTGTGACAGAGGTGCACTCACTCCCAGGCGACAGGGTCCTGGGTCAGGCCGTGCGGGGCTGGTGTGGTGGCTCCAGGTCACCCGTGACCCCAGCCCCGTCACCAGGCTGCTCTGCCTTGAACCACAGGTGCTGCCTCAGGGTCCAAGGTGGATGCTGAGCTCTGGCTGTCATTCCAGCCAGCAGAAGGGATGAAGGGGGAAGAAGGCACACCACCTTCACCTGGGGGATTTGCCCCTCACCTCCAGCTAGACCTCGAGTTTTCTATGAATGAGGAAGGGAAGGGGAGCGTGGGAGTGCAGGGGTGGGCGGTGCTGTGCTGCCCCCCAGGGAGACAGCAGGCAGAGGAGGACTCCAGAGTTCCCAGGCATGTTGAGCTGGGGAGGGGGCCTGGGGGTCCGCTAAGCCTCGTTGCACGGAGAGACTGCTCCGAGGGAGAGGCTGAGGCCCAGGGCAGGCCACCTCCCTCCGCCACCCCAGGGCTCTGTCCTGGCAGCAGCTCCTAGGGGAGGCAGAATTTGGTGTGGTCAAGAAGGCCGAGGGCGCAGCGGCCAGCGCGGCCCAGAGCAGCCAGAGCAGAAGCTGAGGAGGCCACAGGGACCAAGCCACCCCGCCGCGCGGGAAGGGCTGGGCTCTCCTATCCACCCCGCCCACTCCCTGCTCTTCTCAGGAACCCCCAGGCCTGTTCTGGGCCCCTCCTCAAACAGTCTCCCCCACCCCACGCCCCTCAATCTACAGCCACCAGGCTGAGGGGCTGGCTGGAACGTCCCACCTCAGCCCACCCCCCTGTCTCACCCTTTCCTCCTCTCTCAGTGCCCCTGCATTCACTCCACCTCATGCCCAGCCCAGCTTCTGCAGCTTCCCTCCCCAACCCCCCCCCCAAGGTGGGCCGGGAGGCAGATGAGTGGATGGAGTCAGGAAGCTGGGGAGAGAAGGGCGCGAGGCTCCCCGAGGCACACAGTGAGTGGCACAGGCCGGACCCGAGGCCCCCAGCCATGGTAGAGGAGGGCAAGGGGCCGGACTGAGGTTCTGCAGAGCGGCTGGGAGGAGCCAGTGCTGGCTCCCCGAGTTTATTCTCCAAAGCTGGTGGGGTGGGGGAGGGTGGGCAGCAGAGGACAGGCCTGGATGCGGTGCTGGCTACCGAGGATGGGCCAGGCCGGGGTGCAGGGGAGCCGCTGTGTTCAGGACCCCATAGCCCCGAGGCCAGGGAGGAGGCTGAGCAGGAGGGCGGCGGCCACAGTTTCGGGGCTGCCCTGGGGGCCCCCTGCCCCAGTGCCTGGCCGGCTCTGCCAGGGCGAGGTGTTGCACAGATTGGTCTGGCAGCAAGTCATGGTTATCAGGGTCCTGCCTACTATCCTGGTGATGGGTTGGCAGTTGTCCGCACACCACACTGAGTAACTGGTCAGAGGACCTGATTCTGGGGAGAGGGGTGGAGAGAGGGCAGTCACCCTGGATGTCTGGATAGGGGCGAGGCCCCTTGAGGGCACGTGGCCTTGCGGATGCCTGCGTGACGCTCACCTGTGTCCTCTTTGAAGATGAGGGTCTTGCAGAAGGGCTGGCTCGGGAGGCAGCTGTCTGTCCGGCCGCAGCGCTCCTGCTGGGGTAGGTTCTGGCAGGTGTAGCACTGCAGCCCTGGGGACGGGGCAGGGGGGGGCTCCACTGTGCCACAGTCCCCGAGTCCCCGGCTCCCAGGGCCCACCTCTTCCCCTCCAGACCTCCCGATGCCCACCATCCGCCTGCCTGCCTCAGCTGGTGCCCACAGAGCCAGCCCTGCCGGCCCCCCTGGACCGCCCGAACACGGGCCAGCAGAGCCCACACTGGCCACTGCCTGGGAGGTGAGAGCCCGCGGAGGGCGTGGAGGTGGGCGCTGGCTGCGGGGACGGGCGTGCTGGGGGAGCAGGCCACGCAGGTGGACCGTGCTGACAGCTCCGCTTCATCCTTGTGGGCGGGACAGAGGAGGGGACAGAGGAGGGGACACAGGATGGGTGGCCCGAGCCCTCAGGGTGGAGTCAGGGTGAGGGGTGGGGATGGGGTCCTCCTCGTCCTCTGGCTCCATTCTAAGCTTTGGTCTGGCTCCCAGTCCCCTCCAGTCCCCATCCACACCCTGGCCCCTGGGTGGTCCCACCTTGCCCGCCTGGCCCTGCCCCGCCCTGCCGGGGCCAGACTGCTCACATCTTTCTGGTCCAATCGACACCAGGGCCTCTGCCCCGGCACCGCTGCCTTCCCCGAGCCGGCTGCTTCTCTAGGCCCGACTCCAGGTGGCAGCTGAAGGTCATGGTCAGGGTGAGAGGGGAGGGGGTGCTGACTGCCAAGGGTCTGGCCCCCACCGTACCCCGCTCTGCCCCACTGGAAGGCAGACCCACAGGTGGCCTTAGCCTGACCATGCACGTCACTCCAGGGACCTTGCCAGGGAGCTGGGGTGCCCCAAGAAATGCTGAAAGAGAGGAGCATGGGCCTTGGGGGGAGAGCGGGGGGGTACCTCTGTCCCTGCTGCCTACACTGGCGCCAGCCTCCTCGTCCTCCTCATCCTCGTCCCCCTCGTCCTCGTCCGCCTGCTCCTCCTCGTCCTCGTCCCCCTCGGTGTAGTCCCGGTCATCCTGTGCCTGTCCTCTCCCTGGCTGCGCAGGGACACCTGAGAAGCTCCACTCCTCAGGTACAGAGGACAGGCCCCCACCCCATTCCTCCCACCTCCCGCCCCCACCCAACCGGCAGGTCCCAGGCTGCCGCGGCCTCCGGGTCTCCGCCAGCACCGCCAGGCTGACTTATGGACTGGGGCCCCGCACTGTCCTTGCAACACCAGCTGCCGCCGGCCGTTCCGACAGCCCCACCCTGGCCCTCAGGAGGGCCGGCCGTTGTACGGAAAAGCAAACTGAGGCTGGGAGAGGGGAGGGGACCCCGAAGCTGAGGGGTCTGGTGAGAGGCTGAGCCTTGGGGCGGTGGGGGGCCCGGAGGGGGGTTGCTGCAGAGATTTGGAGGCCCAGGACGGCCCCCCTCCCCCTCCCTCTGGCCTCAGACTCCAGCCTCACTCTCTCTTCCTCCCAAACCAAGTCTTGTGCTGAGGCCGGGGTCCCCGGGGCCCGGCCCCCGCTGTCCTCGCCCTGCTCCCGGGCGGCCCCTCGGCCCCGTACCTGGCTGCCTGCAAAGCAGCAGGGCCAGCAGCGCTGCGAGGAGCGCCTTCATGCTGCCGAGCTGCAGACCTGTGGGAAGTGTGGCAAAGAGCACTGCTGGGGGCTTCCTGGAGGCCCGGCCCTTCCCCCCCAGCTCCAGCCTCAAACAATTGGCCAGTTTCCGTAGACCTGAGGGACCAGCTGGAGGGACGGGGGAGGGAAGTCACTGTGGCTGGCCTTGGGGAGTCCCGGCCATCCATCCACTCGGGCCTTGGGGGCCCAGCCCCGCTGCACAGCCCGGCTCTGGGCTGCTGCGGCCCCTGATGCCCCCTGCCCCAAGTCTGGACTCCTGGGAACCTGGGCCCAGGCCCCACAGCTGCAGGAGCTCAGTGTCACCGCAGCTGCAGGCCACTGGCCAGGCCCCTTCCGCCCCGAGTCGGCTCGCTGACTTCCCACGGCCTCTGTGAGAGCGTTTCCGATGAATTCACGACACACGCCGCCCCACGGGCCCCGCCCCACACACTCACCCACCCCCTGAAATGCGGCTCTCCTCACCTGCTCAGCTGTCGCCTCCCTGGAGGTGGGCTTCCCCCTGCCCCCCCCCTGCAGCCCGCCCTCCCCCTGCCGGGGGCACCCTCGGGGCCGGGCTGTCCGGGTGAGGACAGCCTGCCTCCGCCCACCCTGACCCTCAGTGGGGCTGGGGGAGAGGCCCAGGCTGGCCCTGCTCCCGCCTCCTGGTCTTCAGTTTTTTCCAACTAAAAAAATGGGGTGAAATGTGCACAGTATAACACGTGCCGTCCTCACTGTTTTCGCGTGCCCAGTTCAGGGGCACTAAGCCCAGTGACTGCAGGACGACCCCGGCACCCGCACCTGCAGGCCTGTGTTGGCTTCACCCACTCGTCACACACTGACTTCCAGCCCCGAGGCCACGGCCACTGTTTTACCTTCTCCCTGGGCACCCGACTCCGGGGACCAGTGTGAACACACGGGGATCGTCCTTCGGGAACTGGTCTGGGTCACGGGGCGTCGAGGCTCCAAGGCCTGTCTGCACTGAAGCGTCTGCCAGAACCGCCCCCCTGGGTTGGGCTGGGCAACCCCAGTCCAGGGCGTGTGCCCACACCCTGTCTCTTCCTCCCTCCGGCGGTGGCATGGCGGCTGCTCTCCTTTCTGGCCCCTGGGGACACCGTGTGCCTTGGTTGCTGGTATCCCTGCTCCAGTCCCCAAGGGACGGACCTGGAGCGGACTGGCTGGGTCTCACTCATGGCGATTCTGTTTGGTTTCCGCACTGGGGCTTCTTTCCGCATGTCAGTGCAGGTGAGAGTCTTACATTGGAAAAAGAAAAGCAACTTTTGAAAATCCCCTTCTTTCCCAAATTTTCTACCAGATTCCCCCCCATCTCCCTTGTGGCAACATCTCCCGTGGCAGGGGCTGACCTTTCATCCCCACCCGCTGACCCCACGCCCACCCCCACTGAGGGGTGCCAGTCACTGCCCGCCATCCGGAGCCCCTGCTCAGCAAGGGTGCACCTCGCACGTCCTTTATCGCATTAGAAATCAGTCTCCCTCAACTGACATCAATAAACAAAACGCCCAGAACTGTGCAAGGCCCTGGCTGGTGTGGCTCAGTGGACCGAGTGCCAGCCTGCGAACCACAGGGTCGCCGGCTCAATTCCCAGTCGGGGCGCATGCCTGGGTTGCACGCCAGTTCACATTAATGTTTCTCTTCCTTCCTTACCCTCTCTAAAAATAAATAATAAAATCTTTTAAAAAATTATAAGCAGGAATTCTGTGCAGCCAAGGACAGGAAGGAAGAAGCTCACGCCCTGCGCCAGAGAAACAGTGCAGGGAGGAGGCCGGGCTGGCGAGCGCCCGCGCTGCCGTGTGTGTGTGTGTGTGTGTGTGTGTGTGTGTGTGTGTGTGTGTGTGGAGAGGGAGGGGCGGTCTCTGTGCAGAGGCTGCTCCGGGCCGGCTGGGCCTTCCAGGTGCCGCCTTCCGCTCAAGCCTGCGGCCCCGCCTCCAGGCTGCCTGCCAGGACCTCCGGGCTGCCCACATCGGCCCACCCTGCCCGACACTCCAGGCCATGCCCGCCTCTCCTCAGGGGTGTGACTCGCAGCGCGGGAGGGTCACTGCCGAGCTGGCCACTGAACAGCGCCTTGCCAGTGCCAGCGCAGGGGCTCCACCTCCGGCCCCTCGCATCCTGTCCTCTGGGCTGGACCGACCTTCCCGCCGACGCCCTAGGCCCCACCTGCCTCCTTCTGCAGCTTGGCCCAGGGGCCTGGTGCTCCCCGGCCGCCTGTCCTGACCCTCAGCTTTTGGGGCCCACACTGAGCTAGGCAGGACTCCTGACCCCCCCGTCTCTCTAAGCAGGTTGGAGCTCCGCAACGGCCACCTATCCTGTCGCATCAGTGTCCTCGCTGGTCCCGTCCCTGGGTCTGGCCCCAGTGGACCTCGTGGGGGCAGGACAGACTGCAGCCTCAGGGCGACCACGGCCAGGCCAGCAGGTCAGCAAGGCAGCCAACACAGGTCCCGGGGCTGGGGGGCGATACTGGGAGTGCAGTGGGGGTGCACAGAGGCCCCTCGATGTGGGCACACGTGCCTGGGGGTCTCGGACATCGGAGCTGACGGTGAGACAGTCCTTGGTGGCAGCACCTGGCCGGGGCCACCCTGGACCCCGCCCCCAGCGCCCAGGCCAGTCCTGATTTTCTCCAGGTCCTAAACGTTTTTGAAAAATAGTTTTTAGAGGAATTTTAAGTTCCCAGCAAAATTGAGGTACAGCCCTTTCCTATATCCCACCCCCCAAACAGGACCCCCCAGGACTGACGTCCCTGTTGGACCTGGGCCTTCGTCAGAACCGTGAACCTACACGGACCCGGCGTGGCCGCCCAGAGCCCACGGTTCACAGCAGGGCCCCCGGGGTGTGCACTCAGTGGGTTTGCACAGATGGGTGACCGCATGTGTCTGTGGTCATCGGGTCACACAGAGCGTTTCCTTGCCCTGAAGGTCCCCTGTGCACCCCGGCTGGTGTGACTCGGTGCACTGAGCTCGGGCTGTGAGCTGAGAGGTGGCCGGTTGGATTCCGGGTCCGGCTGGGCCCCCGGTGCGGGAGTGAGAAAGGCAGCCGGTCGAGGTAACTCTGGCACACAGACCTTCCCCTCCCTCCCTCCCCATCTTTCTAAAAACAGATAAATGAGATCTTAGAAACAAACCTCCGTGCTCAGCAATGCCTCCTCTCGCCCGGCCCCCGGCACGCCCTGCAGTCAGAGTGGTGCGCTGTGTTCCCGCCCAGACTGGCTTCTTCGCTCCCAAACACGCACCTAAGATTCCTCCAAGTCCAGAAGCTGACGGGCGCATTTCTTCTCAGGGCCGAGTCCTGTGTCATTGCTGGACGGACAGCAGTTTATTCCAATGGTTGTCTGTCCCCTGCTGAAGGACCCCGAGGTCACTTCGGGTGTCATCACCCAGCAGGGCAAGAGCCCGGGGGCCCCTCGCCAGGGCCCGGGCATCGGGGCCAGGTCAGGCTGGGAAGAGCGAGGGCGAGGCCGGCAGTCCCACCTCCCCGCAGGAGCTGCCCAGACTGGGGGCCAGGGCCACGCGGGGACTGGCCCCACTGTCGTTCACTCGGATGAGGGGGCCCTTTCCTTTGCTAATTGTGACGGACAGTGACTCCTGGAGTACAGGCCCGACGGGGAACTGCCCCCAGCGGCCCAGGAGGAAGGGAGAGCAGCCTGGAGGGGGGCGGGCATCTCTGCTTCCCTGGCAACCAAGCCCAGCCTGCGAGAGCTCAGGTCCCCGTTCTCTGGGGGCAGGCCCCGAGCTGCAGTCCCAGCTGCCGGCCCCGACTTCGGGACGTCACTCTCGGGATCGGGCTTCTGCCCCCCACGCCGCCGCCAGGCTCACGCCGGGCCCACCCGCCTGTATCATCTTTGGCTTCATAACAAATTACCCCAGAACTTAGGGGCTTAAAACGACACCATCTGTGGCCTTACAGTGTCTCGGACAAAGTCAGGAGAACTTGGGAATGGCTTCAAGATCAGTGATCAGTGACGTCTGTAGACATGGGAACCAAAAGGGTGAAGGTGAGGGAGGAAGATGCCCGGGGTTAGAGGTACAGACAGAGGTGGGGACAGGTGCAGACACACCAGGTTTGCCGGAGGGCGTCCAGCCACACGCTGTGAGAATTAGAGATATTCACTGAAGACGATACAAGAGACACTGTACACGGGACAATGACACCTCAGTCCCCTTCAAAGTAGGCACCTTGGGACAGTTCTCCCAGTCACCATCAGCTACTCTGTCTTATTTCCCTGAATCTTATTGACTGCCTGAAATCCCTTCCCTTTCAAAGGTGATTTTAGTTTTGGGAAAAGCCGGAAGTCACAGGGCACCAAGTCTGGGCTGTAGAGGGGCTGAGTCACCCGGGGGATTGGATGTTTCACTGAAAAACACTGCGTGAGACGTGACGTGTGAGCAGGCGTGTTGCGGTGATGAAGCTGCCAGTCACCAGTTGTCCACAGCTCTGGCCTCTGAATCATCCAAACAGTTTCTATGGAGGAAGGTTCAAGTTTATCACGAAATCCGATGCAGAGTTGTTGCTCTGCTCCCTCAGTCATTTTGAATGTGACGGTCACACAGGGCACATGTTCACTCAGTGGCATCTACTGCCCCCACTGACTAGTACAGTGAAGGTGTCGCTGTTCACACATGTGCATTCCAGTCCATGCTCCTTGGCTGCCAGGTCACATCGATGTCACGCACACTGTTCTCATTATGTTAACAATGGCTGGATATTTTCCAGACAGATTTGACTTCCTGACTGTGTGTGTGAGTGTGTGTGTGTGTTGGAGAGAGAGAGAGAGGGAGGGAGAGAAAAAGCAAAAGACATGTACTTTAAGGAATCGGCTCACGCAGTTGCGGAGGCTGGCAAGGCCTCCCAGAGTCTCTTCCTTCCTTTCTTCTCCGCGTGAGTGTGGTCAGTTTGGAGGGGACCCCTCCTTTGGTACATCCGAGGCTGTGGAGCCGATGGACTTTGTACTCTACACCTGCCTCCTTCCACGGAGAAAGTCACTCTTTCAGCTGCATCCCGCTGTGCAGGGTGTTTGCTGATTGTCACCTTTGAGCTCGTATTTGAATTCTGCTGAATCTGTGGGAGCCCCGGCCCCCAAAAGGGAGTCTGCTCCTCTCCCTCCACTCCTCCCGAGCAGCAGGAAGGTGGGGAGGTGTGCAGGCTGGGGAGCCAGGTGGCTGGGCCCCAGCATCAGCTGCATTGCTGGTCGCTGGGTCTCTGTGCGACCTTGGGCAGGGGTCTCAATCTCTGGGCCGCGAGGTGTTCGCGCGGTAAGATGGACGACAACGGCCGCCTGCAGGGTGCCCGGCAGCGAAGCCACCGCAGGCAAGGGCTTGCGTGCACTGTGTGCTCCGCGAACACAAAGACTTTCGAGTCTTGCAACGACATGCCGGTGACGATCATTTGTCTTGCGTAAGATTCAAGGGGACAGCCACGCTCTTCTCATCCTGCTGTGGTGGGGGGGGGCCCTAGGGCAGCGCCAGGCCAATAGTGGGCACTCCATTCATATTTCCTGGACACATGAAGGCAGGCGGAGAGCGGCGACGCCCCCGCTTGGTTTACTCAGAGCCCAGTGGAGACCGATGCCAGACCCAGCGACGCAGGCGCCAAGGCGCAGCAGGTCAGAGCTGGGTGGGGGGTGGGGGCAGAGTCAAAGCCAAGACCGCAGCCCAAGGGCCGTGACGTCCTGCCCAGGAGGTGGGCATTGGGGTTGTCCGCGGCTGCTGGTGGGGGTCGTGGGGATGCTCCGGGAGAAGAGCCCCCGGCAGTCGGGGGCTGGGGAGGGGCAGGGCTGCCTCTGTGAACGGGGACCTCGCACCAGCACCTTCGCTGCTCCCTCTCTCCCTCCCCGCGTCTTTGTGTGTTTCGCTTCCTTTCACAGTAAACGTTCTTCCGAGAAATTCCAAGGGGATCTCAGCCAACCAGAGGGGGAAGGGATGCCTCCCGCGCCTGGGTAGGGGGAGGTGGAGGCGGCGGAGGGAGCGGGAACTGGAGAGGCGAGCGCGCGGGCGAGCCGGCGTCCACTGGCTTTGGGCCCAGGACCGTACGGGGCCGAGAGCAGCCTCGGACCTCAGAGCCCTGGGTGCTCCGGCAGCGTGAGTCCCGCCGCCCCCGCCCTCTCGCGCCCCCAGCCCGGCTCCGCCCCGCCTCTCGCGCGGGGTCCGCGTCTGCGGCTGCGTTCCCCGAAAGACGAGGAGACTGCCCCAGGTTCCGGTCCGCAGGGAGAGCGAAGGACGCCGCTCCCCGTGCCACCAGCACCGCCCGGGGACCCTGAGCATCCGAGCGCCAACACCCCAGGGATGTGAGTGCGCACCCCTCCCCCCAGCCCCGCGACCCGCGGCCTGCCCTCCACTCTCCGACCCTCGGGGAGCGCTGAGGCGCGCGCCGGGGAGGCGAAGGGAGGCGGCTCCGCGCGGGGTTCCCGGCCCCCCAGCCCAGGGGTGCGGGGTGGGGACTCAGCACGCGCCCCTCCCCCCACAGCAGGTGCGGTCCTCCCGCACCTCGCCCTGCCCTCTCCTTAGGGCCGCGCCTGCCGCTGCCCCGGGGAGGAGGAGAAAACGCGCCCGACACCCCTTATCCCACAGGTGCTGGGCGCTCAGGGGTGCATCTCGGCCTGTCGCCGGCCGGAGGGGACTGTGTGGGGGCGGACGCTCTGGGGGATGGGCTGGGGGTGGGAATCTTCGCGCTCCGGGGAGACCCGGCGGTGGATTCCCGGGAGGAGGTTGCATTCGGGGGCCAGAAGAGGAGAGGGTCCTTCGGGCCTGCCGGGGCGCCGTGTCTGCTGACCCAGGCTTCTCCCTGCCAGGCCTGCGCCCCGGAGGACCCCCACCCGCAGCGCCCGTGCCTTCCCGACGCCCACCTGGAGCATGCTGCCCGCAGCCGTGAAGGGCCTCAGCCTGGCGCTGCTGGCCGCCCTGCTGTGCTCTGCGCCGGGTGAGTTTGGGGCGGCCGGCCCGGGGAGGGCCGGTTCCCCGAAAGAGCTGGGCTGTGGGGCCACCAGCCTCCCCCTCCGCCCCCAGACCCCAGCGCTCATCAAAGGCACAGCCCCTCCTGGGCCCCTGCGAGGCCAGCCGGGCCCTCCCCCTCACCGCCCCAGGGGGCCGTGCTGCACTCCCAGCCCCGTGGGTCCCTCCGGACCCCGGAGGGCCCAGGGCCTTCTTCCTTGGCTGCTGCACCGATGCCCCACTCAGTGCAGGGGGTCTGGGCTCCACGACTCGCAGAGCCCCCCCACCCCCGGTTGCCCTTCGAGTCCTGTTTGGTCCTTGCAAACTTAGAACCAAGAGAACTCTGGGAAAGGGGGGACGTGGGAGGGGTGGGAGTGTGCAGGCCCACCCGCCCGGGAAGCCCAGGAGGGGCAGGGGTCTTCCAGAATCCCAGGGGAGGGACCCTCACTGTAAACTACCCGGAAGCCACAGGGGTTCTTCCAGGGCCCACTCTCCGGATGCCTGGTCACTGCCCGCCAGGGGCCGGCTGCCCGGCCGCCCACAGCCCCGTGGTTCTCCTAGGAGCACCTGCAGCAGGCGGGCAGGAGGATGCGGGGGTGCTGGCCGGCCGGCCCCCAGCTCCTCGGGTCACCCTGCCCCTCGGCCCGCCCAGCTCATGGCCTGTGGTGCCAGGACTGCACCCTGACCACCAACTCCAGCCACTGCACCCCGAGGCAGTGCCCGCCGTCCGACACAGTGTGTGCCAGCGTCCGAATCACGGACCCCAGCAGCAGTAAGCCGGGGCCCGGTGGGGAGGGTGGGGGTGGCCTGAGCCCCTCTGGCCTGCCGTGTGACTGTGAGCTGCCCCCCAAGGCGGCCCCTGTCACTGGGGACAGTGTAGGTGGGGACAGGGTCCCAGGCCTGCTGCTCCGGGCTTGAGCCTGATCCTGGGCCAGGCCGGGTGCGAGGCCGAGAGGGCCCAGCTGGGGCTCCCAGTCCAGCGCCTCTGCTCCCCAGGCCGGAAGGACCACTCGGTGAACAGGATGTGTGCCTCGTCCTGTGACTTCGTGAAGCGGCACTTTTTCTCGGACTACCTCATGGGCTTCATTAACTCTGGGGTCTTGAAGGTGGACGTGGATTGCTGCCACAAAGACCTGTGCAACGGGGGGCCCGGGCCGGGCGGCAGCCCCTGGGCCCTGGCCGGCGGGCTCCTGCTCAGCCTGGGGCCCACCCTCCTCCGGGCTGGGCCCTGAGGTCCCCTGCCTCCTGCAGGGCTTCTGAGGGGTGCCCCCGGCCTGTGGCTGCCCCTCCTCTGCCCGGCTCCGCCTCGGCACGGCTCTGCCACCCTCCGCGGCCCTCACCCCTGCCTGTCTCCCCACCAGCTCCGAGTCCTAGCCAGCAGGGCGCCTGCCGGACACCAGCGTCCCTCGGGTGGGCTGGATGTCTGGGGATGAGGGCAGGGGGCTGGGACCCCCACTCGCTGAGCGGCAGCCGGGCTGAGCCAGGCCCGGCTCAGCGGCTTGGCTGTGAGGGTGTCTTCTACCGAGAAATAAAGTGGCTTCTGCATCCAGAGACCTGGCTCTGGGCCCGGGTGTGGGGGACACGGGTGCCCGAAGGGAGGTGGGAGTGGGGTGCTGGGGAGGGGCGGGGGCACCCGGTTTTGGGGCTGTGGTGCCGGCTGCCCAGCGGGGCTGGAGCCTGGCGAGACCAGGGAGCAGTGGGGCAGGTGGTTCGGGCGGAGGCGAGAGCAACGCCCCGGCCGCGCCCGCCTCACTCTCGGCCCACGACTGCGGGTGGGGTGCACACACAGGCCCGTGCCAGTGCCTGCACCCACACTCAGGGGCCCTCTTCCCCAGACGTCCCCCACCCCCGTGTGGGATGGCACAGAGGCCCTGGGGCACTCTGGCGGGGGAGAAGGGCAGGACGGCTGGAGGTGGGTCTTAGGGCGCAGCCTCTCCGGCCCTTCCTGCTCCGGCTGAGGCTCTGTGGTCCTGTCCCTGCACCCAAGTCCAGCCAGGCCTCCTGCACCCACTGGCCATGTGGCTCGTCCTGTGGTCCAGGCTCACCCTGTGACACTCGGCGGCCACTTCAGGCTTCCTCTGGCTCAGGTCTTTGGCCAGTTCTTCCTCTTCCCTGTGTGGCTGACCCAGGGCTTGGTCACTTCTGGGTCCTGGACTCCTTGGGAAGGACAGCGGTTCCATTAAGACCTGGCCTTGACCTCCCTGTCAGGCTCCTCTGATGACCTGTGGAGAGGTGTCTGGGGTCCAGGGTGAGGGACACCGGGGTCACTGCTGAGTGGTGTCCACTTCCGCTGGCGGAAACGGCACAAGGTCATCTGCTCTGTGCTCTGCGATGCCCCCACCCTGCCCTGCCCACCCCCCAGTAACATGCCACCCGCCCCCAGGGCTGCCACTTTGGGACCCTGGGACAGCACCGCCGCCTGTGACCTAGGGCGGCTGCGCGGGGGCGACCCAGGAGAGGCTGGAAGCCGGCCCCGCGGTGGGCACCAGGGAGCCAGGGCGTCCAGGAGCCGGCCTTTGTGCCGAGTTTGCTATTCGAGGGAAGGACTTCAAACAAACGGAAGGGAATTCTCGCAGCTCTTTTAAGAAAGGTGTGTGACTGGAAATGAGTGGGGACTTCGGGGGGCAACACGGAGCCCCCGCTTCCGAGCTGTGGGGCCTGTGTCTCGCCTCGCAACACCCGCACGACCGTGGTGGCAGGTGGTTGTCCGCAGTGCGGGGGCCGCGCTTGGTCTGGCGGGCACGCGGACGTGCCCCAGCGGTGAGCCCCTCCGCTCTGAACAGTTCACAGGGATGCGCGTCCCAGTCAGCACGTCCAGAGGGACCTGTGGTCGTGGCGCGAGCCGAAGGCCCCCCGAACCGACGGACAGAGGTCCGTGCAGCCGCCTGCACCGGGCCCGGGGCCGCGCTCTCAGCCGTCCACCCTCCCGCCTGCCCCAAAGCCGTGTTCTCTGCGAGTAGTCCTTCCCCGCTGGCGCGAAGTGCCACCTTGGTAGCAGAATGTGTCCCTCACAAGTCTGCAACTGGTTTCTTTGAAATATTTTTACTTATTTATTTTTAGAGAGGGAAAGGGAGGGAGAGAAACATCAGTGTGTGGTTGCCTCTCACACGCCCCCTACTGGGGACCTGGCCCCACAACCCGGGCATGTGCCCTGACTGGGAATCGAACCGGAGACCCTTTGGGTTGCAGGCTGGCGCTCAGTCCACTGAGCCACGCCAGCCAGGGCGTCACCCTGTTACTGACGTGCAGTCCCTCAGGAGCCCACTGTGCACTCTGCGCCGAGGACCCTACGGTGCTGCTTTGATTCTGGCAGTTTCACCGCAGGTTCCACACCTGGCAGGCAGGTGCCCCTCCTTGCTCTTCTTTTTAAAAGGTTGTGCTTGATTCTCACGGATGAATTTCAGGATCCATTTGTCCGGTTCCCGAATAATGCTCTCAAGAGTTTTGGCTGGGCTTCTCCTCGTTTGGGCCTGAGCTGGGAAAGGACCACAGTCTGCGCTCCTGGCCCCCACTCTCTTGGGTGGGCTGCGTGAGGGAGGTTGTGTTTTGGCCCAGCCCTGGACAGAGACCCCTGGAACCAGGCCTCTCTGGCCAGCCCCCGGGCAGGCGGTCGGTGATTCCGAATGAATGAATGAATGAGGGCGGGGTGCCGTGGTGTGGGGCGGGGCCGGAAGCCCCGCTCTCTCCGACAGCCCGCCGCCTCCCCAGAGCTCTCTGTTCTGAAGGGGGACATGGGGTCCCTGCTCCACTGGTTCTGAGGACTGGGCCCACCCTGTCAGACTTGGGGACCTGAGGACCACGTTTGCCCCGGCCAGGCTGTGAGATGGACAGACTTCAAGATGGACAGAAAGACAAGCCTCCACCTTCCTGAGACGACACAGTTAGGGTCTGGATCCAGGGGAGGCCCCAGGGGACACCCTGGGAAGGGGACTCAGCACCTGCTGAGCAAATCAAGTTGTTCTTGGTGAAAACGTCCCCAGGGTGCGCCACGCAGGAGTCACCGTGGTTACTGTGCCGTCGGCTCCCCCGAGACCCCTCGGAGAGCCCCGCGCTCGGGCCCAGCGTTCGGCTTCAGCAGCAGCTGCGGCAAATGAGCTGTCGTGTCAGGACAGAGTGCAGAAAAGTGCCAGCAACATGGGGCCCGGGGGGGTCCCAGGAGACTCCATGCGGCCGGCACCCACACACCTGTTGTGGGACGCAGCTGGCGTGAAGACAATGCAGCCTCGAGACTGTGGGGTTCAGTGTCTCATCCACCGGCCGACCTGCTGTTCTTCCTGTCGTCCGTCATCTACTATCTACTGTCTGTTATCTGTCTGTCTGTCTTCTGTCTGAGTCTTCTCCAGGGAGGAGGAGAGCAGGCTTTTGAGTGGAGACGGGGGATGGGCCCCGGGAGGAGCAGGGACCTCGGGTATGAGGACCAGCTACCATGCGACGGGCTCGGGACAGTGGCGCCCCTGGCCCAGCCGTGCTGACGCTTGTTGTGGGAGTCCCCTGGGGCTGCCGTAACCAACGACCTTGAGAGGCGGCTTGAAATGGCGGGACCTCGTGTCCCACCGTCTGGGGGCCCGGCATCGGAGTCAAGGCCTGGACGGGACCAAGGTCCCCGGGGGGTGGATCCGACCTCGTCACCCCCAGCTTCTGGGGGCTCCTGGTGTTCCTTGGCTAGTGACCCCCTCATTCCAATCTCTGCACCGTCTTTACGTGGCCCCTGCCCCGGGAGCTCCCCGGGTCCTTTTCTGCCCTTATGAGGACACTCTCATTGGGTCGAGGACACACGCTAATCCAGGAGGGTCTCCCCTCAGCCCTGACCTTGTTTCCAGACCAGGTAGCACCTGCTTTCATACTCTGGTTTTCACGCCGAGAGCCCTGGCGGACAGGAGGCAGCGAACAGGACGGCCCGGGTTCCTGGCACCTCCTAGTCACTCATTTCTTTTACCCGGCAGACGCCGCAGCCTCGGGGCGACTGCGCTACCGGGCCACAGTCCAATTGCTGCGAACGCTCAGAGTTCGCTGTTGCGCCCCTCACCTCTTCGTGGTCCTGCTGCGTCTGTGCCCTGTCCGAGCCGCGTCCTCAGGGACCGTTAGCTCCCTCCAAACACGCCGTCCACACCGGCCCTTCCTGCATCGTCACCAGTGGGCTCTCTGGGGCCTTGTCTCCCGGGGACAGAACCCCCCGGTTCATGGAAGCTGAGAATAGCTCGTCAGTTTTTCTGGGTGCAAAACCCCGAACCGCACACTCCCCCTTGTGTGTTTCTCGCTTCATGTTGCAGAACCGTCTGTGGCCCTTGGTGGGCCGAGCACGCTGGGCACAAGCTGGAGGATCCCTCTGACCCCCTGGCGCTCTCTCCGAACCTGTGAACCTGCTCTCCGTCGGGACGCTGCCCCCACCCCCATTCCAGAGTCTCTCCTTCAGCTGGAGAAAGCCAGGCCTGCTCACAGGGTCCCTGACGCCAAGCCTCAGGAGGCGGCTCACACCTTTGATCTGTGGGCAGCGCCTTCCAGAACTGGGGCAGCTCACGGGGAGGAGGTGGGAAGGAGGCCAGCAGCCTCCAGGAGCCTGGGAAGAAAGGTAGCCTGGGGCGGGGGGGCAGACAGGACTCTGAAATGAGGGAGGGGGGAGCCCTTCTGGGCTGGCCGGGTGTGCACGAGTGTGTGTGTGTGTGTGTGTGTGTGTGTGTGTGTGTGAGTGTGAGCTGGTGGTGGGGCTGCAGGGCTTGGGGTGGTGCAGACCAGGCGTGGCCTCTGCACCACCACCCTAGACATCGTTCAGTGGCAGCCCCGGGGCCCCGTCAGCTCCAGAGCCAGCTCCAGCCCTGGGGACAGCCTCATTCACCACTGGTGTGCGGGGTGCAACCGGCCCACCCTGCCCTGCAGTGGCCTCGCCTGACTGTGCACAGCCCAGAACACGGCCCTCGGGATGCCAGGCGGCTAAGTGGTGAGGAGAGGTGCCCAGGCTCCTGTCCGCCCCCGCTTCTCCCCTCCTCCCCCTCACTCCCAACTTCTGGACACACCTTGGATATTTTTTTAAATATTTATTTATTTTTAGAGAGAGGGGAAGGGAAGGAGAAAGAGTGGGAAAGAAATACAAAGTGTGGTTGCCTCTCATGTGTCCCCCAGTGGGGACCTGGCCTGCAACCCAGGCATGTGCCCTGACTGGGAATCGAACCGCGATACTCTGGTTTGCAGGCCTGTGCTCAATCCACTGAGCTACACCAGCCAGGGCCACCTTGGATATTTTGATTCTCCCTGCGATCCCATCCCACTGCCTCCCTCCTGGACCAAGCCCCCGTCCTATAGCTTTCATGGCAGAGTGGCAACAAACCCAAGTCACCCGACACACTGAGCCTGACCAGGAGACATTCTCTGCTGCAGGCAGGTGTGCTTTGCATGGGTTACTTGGTGCCACAGTTTTGGCATTTTTGTTGGTTATTTTGCTGTTCAAAATAGCACCCGGGCACGGGGCGGAAGTGCTGGCTGGTTTCCAAGGCAGGAGAGGGCTGGGATGTGCGCCATGGGGAAAATATACAGGTTGGACGAGCTTCCTTTGGGCG